CCCACGCGTACCGCCCACGTCGCCCCCCTCTACGCGTCGCCCTTGTCGTCGTCGTTGTCATCATTGGCGGGACCCGAACCCAACCAATCGAGCTTCTTAGCTTCCTCCGGCCCGTCAATCCTTGCGTCGTGTCCGAACACAATGCCGCGGTCTGCCCAATGAGGAAGGTAGTCGGGGTGCTCTCCAAACGTGGCGTTTGCCTTCCCGAGCCTTTACGTGACGGCTTTCACGGCGAGGCGAATGTATCGACGATGGTCGAACGACCGATGCATGGACGCCACGAGTGTGGGCTTCGACACCAGCGTCGCGAAGTGGAAAACTTCGAAGTGGCTGCGCGGATCGTCTCCCGACATGCGCATTATCCACATGCACGCCGCCAACAACAGTCCAAAGCAGTCAACCACCCGGCAAAGACGATCGTGCGAGATGAACTCGCCGTCGATGACCGCCCCCATTTGCAGCGCCGCCCGGAACGCATGCGCGACGCAGATGATGGTGGACTCCTGGTACGCCGCCATGTCATCGTCGTCCGGTCTGTTCTCGACTTTCATGCCCGCGAACCACAGCGGCAAGTCCATGGAGAGATCTATTGTGTGTGCGCAAACCGCCGGGCTGACGATGTTGCACCACTCCTCGCCGTACCACATAGCTCGCGCTATGTCCGTCGCCATGGACTCCAGGGCGTACTGGAATGCAAGATTGTAACCCCTTGGGCGGTTCGCAGACTTGAAAACCCAGCCGTGCAATACGCGGAGAGCGATGTTCTCCACTGTCGACGCACGGGAGGTCGCTTGTTGCAGCTGCGACGGGTCGGCGATCCTGGCTATCCGCGTGCTGGATTTGGGCATCACAACGCTCCGAGGGATCGCAGGTGGTGGAAGTCCGCCGGCGATGGCGACGAAGTCCTCTCTTGTCTCGTGTACGATGTTGTAGAGTCTTCGCCCCTCCCCCGTCGTCCAGAAAGGTTTGTTGTCGACCCAAAGGACGGCACGGTCTATGAGGTCATTTGTCAACACTCCCCTGCGCGGCCTGCTCGAACCAGCTTCGTCGCCCTCCCGATCACTCCTCTTCTCTCCACGCGCGTCGTCCCTCGCCATCGCCACAACTGCTCCCTCCTCTCTCGCCGCCGGAACTGGGGGCGCACTGCCTGAAACACCCGCAACCGCGCCCGCCGCACCTGCCGCCTCAACCCCAACTGCGCCCGCGTGCGCCGCGACTACCCCACCGCCGCCTCGTTGGACGGACCCTCCTTCAGCAGTCGTGTTGCGAGGACGTGGCGCAGCCGTGGTGGCGGGCAGCCTACCCGTCACTGCCTTTTCTCCAGCGAGAGCGTGGCCCGAAGCCGTCGGCGGCGGGATGGCTGCTGTGTGACTGCGCAGGAGGCGTCTTTCCAAGGGCTCATCATCGTCGTCACCAACATCGTCGACGTGAGCGTCGTTAGTCCACTTGTCGCGGGCGCGCACTTGCTTTGTCTCGGGTGGAGGGGTCATCAGCCTTTTCGACGCGCTGTGATCAGATTGTCGTAGCCCTCCACTCTCCCGAACTCCAGACGCAGTCGCCTGTCCCTGATCTTCGTCAGTAACGAGAGAGAAGATCGTCGACGACGATGCTCCGTGGCGAGAAGATTGACGGGCAACGTCCGCGTGCACGGCAGAAGGACGGCGACTCCCACGACCTGGCGTGAACAGCCTGCGCGGCGGGCTTCAGCACAGGTGCGTGCAAATGTAGAGATGGTCGAGCGGCTTTGGGTGCGCACAATTGAATTGATCTGATCGCGGTGGACCGCCCGCGACGCAGCGTCCCACTTCGTGGGAAACTGCCTTGCCAAGGGTGGCACGCGCGACTGCCCAGGCTATACGTGGCGTGTCATTTCGCTCTTTCCCAACGCGCGAAACGACCCTTCTGCGTCCCTGGCGAGGCGCGTCACGTCACTCGCAATGGAACTAAAAGAAAAACCAAGCACCACCCGCCCTGCACGTCGAAAATAAACCCCCTACCGATCACTATGACCCACGTCCGCAATTCCTGCCCCCACACAACCCC